GAACTGGGTTATCGGCAAACCTATCTACTCCTATTGGTAAATCTATAATTTTATGTTAATATATTTTTCATATTTTTAATGTACTTTTGCTTAACCACACATTGATTATTATTATTATTTGATTGGATATCCTCCCCGACTTTTCTATGTTTCGGCCAGCTGATGATCATATTTTGGCTCCTACCTGCAGCTTAGAGACGCAACACTTTCCTCTGCACATGAACTGTTTCAAGCAGTTCTGCCACCTGCTCACTCTCAATGATGTCAGGTATTCACAAGTCGTCCTGCGATGCAGAAGGATTTTTGAAAATAATCCTGGGTGCGCTAACCACAGAAAGGACCACTTGAGCTGCTGCTTGATATATTTATCTGATTTGCTCTGTCGGGCGCATTAGACTCTTAAGTATTATGTGAAATTTAAATGGTATAAACATTTATTACAAAACATTAAAACAATACAACAAAATACAATTTTTACAGAATAGGCTTGCTCACAAATTTCTTTTTGTGTGCCTTCTGATGAGGCAGATAAAAGATCGAAAATATATAAATGCTCTTAATTGGAGTTAATAATAGCATATCACATCATGTAAGTCACCAGATAATTGGTGAGCTATAGAAGAAATAATTATTATCCCATTTATACTTCGCTCATTATGGGCATTATTATATCCATGATATCACACTTTAATACATGGACGGACAGAATAGCTAAAAGAAAATGAATGACAAACTTGTTTTGTTCTCAGAGGTAGTTTTATATCACTAAGTCAGACATAAAATTATATATACATATTTACATTTGTTCCACATAGCGAAACTATAACACATGTCTACAAAAACAAGCAGAGGGAAAAGATGATGAAGAGTCTTATTTGTAATAATTCCTAATGGGAATATGAGTTGCCGGATAATTCTTCTGTGTTTCTGGAGGAGCCTTATTTAGATTTGAGTGAGCCGGATTTATCTTCTATGTCACAAGTGAAGACGCATTCCTCAAACTGGAAACAGCGATTCATGGGTTTTTCCCAACATGTGACGTGTGAGCTGGAGATAGTTTTTATATCTGGTGAAGATAATATTTCCAAAGGAAAACAGTTGCCTGTGCTAAAAAAAAAAAAAAAATAGCAACTGCTTGGTCTGACTCCTGGAAGCTAACTGATGAACTGTCTACTTTTGTCACTCTATGAATTAACATCACTAAGTGTCCCATGTGACTTTTTAGAATTGTTCTTTCATTTGATTGTATTATATTATTATAATTTTTTTGATTCAGCGAATACTATTGGTGGAAAATGATTTCAAAGCATTTTCTATGTAACAGTTTCTTACAACGGCAATTTTATGCAAACTAAACACCAAAGTAGATCACAGAAGCCTTGAATAATTCTCTGACTTCTGATTGGCTAATATATGTGAAAAACATTACAACGCTTACGCACAAGTGTTCAGAGTCAATTTACCGCCCAAATCTGGTTACGTGTTCTCGAGTCTGTCCCGCGAATCACATTACTTATAAATACTTGGACTTCATCTCAACCAATTTCTTCTCTCTTCGGTGAATGAATTTTGGCAGCAAAATACTTCAATATATTTTTCAACCCTGAAATGTTAAAGTAAAATCTACATTTTTAGTACCAAATACTACTTCTCGATTTTCAAGTGAAGACTTCAATGTTCTCTCAGTCAACAAGTTTCTTTGAAGTTGTGACGGATTCACCACATTAATTTAACTTTAGATTAGAAAACAAAACTGACGTGAAAAAGAATAAGCAAAAGACATTATTACACATATAATACGTATTTAACAAGATTTAACATATAATACGTATTTAACAACGATGTGAAAGAAAGCATGCATTTAAGTAAGAAAAGGTTGAATAAAACAAGAGTTGTCTCTCTTTAACGATTAATTGTATTTCAAAGTTCACTGGAAGAAAGTTTATGAGAGTTTCTTGTAATAATTGTTCTCAGAAGATTTGCTGTGTAAGGAAAGATTATGTGAGTATATAAGGAATGTTCAGCATGTGAGTGGTGGTGTGAGTGAGAAATGGTTTCAACTGCCGTGGATTCGTTTGGCAGCTGAATTCTCACTAATTAGCTAAGAATATTTCTTGCTTATATAGGTGACCATAGGCTCAAAATCGCTGCGCGGGAAGAGTTATTCTTCACGGGCAGACGATCTGATTGGTTTGCATTGACCAATCAGTGAGCGAGTTTTGGGGAGACTTAAGAAAGCTTCTGGGATCCGTTTCTCCCAAAAGTGCACAAAATTGACTACATGAAAATAGAGCGATTACAAAATTGTCGCATTGCTGCGATTTGTAAATTGTCTATACTAACGTAGTGGAGATTTATTAACCAATGAATGCTCGTCGTTGTATGTAATTTGTGTATGTATGTCTGTATGTATGTATGTATGTGTGTGCGATACAGATCGGCACAAACTCACCTTAAGGAATTCAACTAGCGGTTGAAGGTAAATAACTCCTGCTATATTTAAACATTGAACTTTCAACTATAGAAATTGTAGCAAACTGTTTAATTCTCTTACAAGTAACAATACATCTTACTAAAGTTCTCCAGACTCACACACTTTTTTAATACACATCACAGTTTATCAACAAGAACATTTTCCTCTCTCAAAATTCCAAGGACAGGTAAATTTCAGCATTTCAAACACACCTGAATTACTATCTGTACAATTGTTGTTGTGTATAAATAAATTCCATTTACTTATGCGAATTTTCTCCTTGAATGTTATTCTTCTTGTTTTCTTATTCCTTGTTGTAAAGTAAAGAAAATAGTATGGATTGAATCGAGGCCGTTCAACCCGCTACAATTGGTAACCCCGACGTTCCGGTGGTCACATGGCAACAAATTGGTGATTTCGAATACAAATGTGTGAAGCAAAATATTAAACAATATTTGATAGAATAACTAAGAATCTGCCATGAAAATACTGTGCAACATTTCTTGCTGAATGTTTCTTCATATTGTTTCCTATTTTGTTGTATTTTGCGTTAATATAAATACATAAGGCCCTAGTGACCTCTACGTCATATTGTGGCGTGCTAATGAGATTTGGTATAAAATTGTTAAGACGGCTTTGGTGAAGGTTGCGTTTTTGATTTGCACATCACATTTAAATTTTACAAAGAAACACAAAGAAGGAATAACAAGAGATTATTCAGTAATCAACAATATCATGTATTGAAAAACAAGCGAGTACAACAATTGTGTTTGGTGAAACAAAGTTAAGAAAGAGGAAATAGTTTCCCTTGTACTGATGTGAGATTGTAAATATGTGTTAAAAGAACTTTCTTGTTTAAAATGTTCAGAGTTCAGCAATATGTGATAACTGAGTTTAAGTATGAGAAAGTTGTACAAAAGAATGATAGAATTCTGGGTTGGTTACTTGACTTTTTGGACAGACAGTTCACAGCGTAGTGCAATTGTAATTTTGTGTCTGTGTGTGTGGGTAGAACAATGAGAATTCACGTACGTGGTTGAGCTCTGGAGATTTACTGTTCTACTACTGTTCTTTTCTTTGATTTTCGTGTTATTTATACTTTCTGAATAGGCTCCAGGAACGAGAGCGGGAAAATATTGAAAGGAGTGTTATTGGTCAAAAATCAACCAATCACTGATTTTTTTCTAAACCAGGTTTGGCAAAAAACCAGAAAATTTGATGTGGCTCATGCGATGCATAAATTGTCCTATAGAAAATAGTGCTTATTTTCTATCCAATGGCTATTTTGTGGGCGTGGTGTATGTAAACAACCGCTACAATATGAACCAAAGGAAGATAATAGCCTTTTATATCAACACAATCTTACAAAAAAGGGACAAACTTTGAGAAGGTAATACAAAATTTTAAATAAGGCAGAAAATACTCTTTAGAAAAGGTGCCTCCACCTAATCGAAAGACAAAAAAATTACAACCAAGACGAGGACTTTGGCAACAAAGTCACTTATGTCCTGGGGACTGTCAACAATTTTTTAGAAGACAGTTCTATTCACAGGTTTCAGTTCTTTTTTTCCATATGCCTCTTCTATGAGAAACAGCTCAGCTCATTCACAGGTGGCAGCCAAAACTTGCTTTCCATTCTGGGTCCTTAACATTCTACCTTTAGGATGAAATTTTCATGACATTTCATCTTCTGAGTTAGTTGAAAAATCTGATTACTTCTTCCTTGACAACTTCTGTGTCTTCTAGTCAAAGAAGTCTATTGCCTTCTTCTGTGAAAGTTTGAATACCTTCTGTTAGCAGGTGACCCTATCAGACAGACCATAACTTTAAAAATTACATAGGCGTAAGCCCATGGTTTTGATTGAACAATAAGTAGAAAGAGTATATATTTTTAAAATTTCAGAAATGAAATTGAAACACTCTACTTCGACAGAAATATTTTTGACGGATCTTTCAAAGCCAATTCTAAAAAAGATACTTTCATAACATAACAATTTTTCATGGACCGTCTGGATTTCTTTTGTACTTCTCCCAAAAGTAAGTGTATAAGACAAACCCAGACGATTATAATATTTATTTACAATTTTTTTTTATTAATTATTATTTTTAATTATTTTGTATTACTAACTAATAATTTTTTAATAGTATTTTGCTTGAACAATGAAACGCTTTCACGATGTTCTTGTCCTGAGGTATGTCAATATGTCTAGCAGGATCCATTCATGGCTGTTCTTGTGCACAACTAGGATATAAAGGCAAATGCTCTCCATTCAATATACGACTATAGTCGTATCCCACATGAGCTTCACTTGTTCATTCTCGGCATTGGCAGCATCATCATTATTTCACTTAATCATATGAGAACATAAATGCACTTGTTCTTTTTTTTTTAAAAAAAAAGTCTCAAATTCAGATTAGTAAATGAGAGTTATTTGCCCTTGATCACAAACTTCACCGACAGTCTTCTTTAGTCTCTCGCTTAGAAAGGTGACTTGTTTGTCGTCCGCTTTTTACACCACAGAAGAACATGCTTTTTTCAAATGCTGTTAGACACGTAAGCCGTGGCTTGTCCACCTCTGCAACTGTTTATAATCCCATCAAACATGTAACTGTTATTGGTGGAGGACTTATGGGTAGCGGCATTGCTCAGGTGTGTATTAATGAAACAAAATTCCAGTTAGTTTTTAATTTTTTTTTTTACCTAATCTTTTCTTGTTAGGATTATGAACTTCGTTCAGAGTGCACTTTGACTCGTTCTTAATCTTTTGCTTTTTAGTGTTTTCTTTTAGGCTTAAATTTAATGCTTTGAAACTTTATAGCTCGGTATTTCAGTAGACTTTGCTTTTATACTGATCGAAAAAGAAAAACTGACTTTTGAATTATTAGCCTTATGCCTAAAACAAATTCGTAACTTTTTACTTACCAAAAAAAACAAACACTTTTTAGTTTTTAGTGTGTGGGGGTTAAAAACAGGCAATAAACAGAGGCCTGTGAAAATTGTGAACTAATTTTAATTTCAGTATGCAAATTTTTACTTGCGGTCCTGCTGAATAAAAGTCCAGTCCCTCCACTCAAAATGTCACACCTTTAAACAAACAAAATGAAAAATAAAACAGACTTTAACCCCCAATAATGTGTAATTCATACAACTGTGATATACCTCTGACCTTCTTGGTAATTTAACTTAATTTCTTTCTGACATTGTCAAATTTAGCGCTTCATATATGAAACATTGATTTATCTCCTTTTATTCGTAAAATTTATTTAACTAGCTTCATATTCCGAGGCCCCAGGTCAGGTTGTAAATGTGCGTTTCTTGTGAAGAAATCCTTTTTTTAAGGATATTACAAAATAATTTTGTATTGGGTAAAAAATGGTTTTATATTTATTTATTTTTGTTTTAATCCTCTGCTTTCTAAAGGCTTCAAAATTCAAATGGATTATAAAAAAGGACCTTTTGGTTTTTAGCAGGACAGGATGTGATTTTATATTGGCTGGAGGAATATCTCTTGATTTCTAAATTTCTTGTTTCCAAACATGATCAGCATAGGAAAACATTTTTAGTAATCTATCCTTCCAGTTTTTTTTGTCTTTTTTTTTTTTTTTAGCCATAGAAGCATTTATTTATTTAACTAAACTATCATTTCGTGTCCTGATCACGATGGAATAAATCAGTTATCATTGTGTCTTTTTCTTTTACATTAAAAAAAAAAAAAAATTAAAAATCAGCAAATTCTTACTTAAAAAAAAATGACTGAATATTTTTACATTAGTGTTCCTCACCTTAAAAAGAGTCTTAGCATAATTTTGTTTTAGTTTCCTATATTTTTTAATATAAATTAAAAATAAACTTAATTTTCCTGGTATTTTGATAAACCAACAATTTTTTCCGTGCCAATATACACTTTTTTTTTTTTAAAAATAGAAACTGCAGTTATATTGGTAGTGGATTAGGGTTTGAGGTGTTGTGGAATAACTAAGGTAGAAATTTAACTTATCACATAGTGCGTGAAACACATTTTATTTTATGAAAGCGTTAGACTTGCTACTACTTGCAGTTTTTGTATAAAAAAAACAAACTATGTTGGAGCCTGTTTTGCTGGTGTCTTTTTAAGTAATGTATTTTTAAACGAGGGTGAATCTTATTTTTTCCTTTTTTTTTTTTTTTTGCTATATCTGTTTGTATTTCTACAACTAGATAAACAAAAAAAAAAACAAAAACGAAAAACACAGACACAAAAACTCTTGAGTTTGAATCAAGAGACTGAGCATTATTTTAAAATTAGATGGAATAATGAACTAATAAAAAAAAACACATTTCAGAAATATCTCGCTAAGAATCTCCCCAGAAGTCCTTTAGCTTCTTTCAGTATGTCAGAATCTATAACAGCACCTGTTAAAAAAATTGAATAAAAATGGTACATTTATTTTATTGTCAGCCATTAGGTTTTTTTTTTTTTTTTTATTATCAAATTTTATTTTAATGATTACAAACAAAACTTAAAACAAAATATTGACTTTTTTCTTACAAAATAGTAAACACCAATAAATGAACATATTTATTCTGAAAAAATAGCTACAGTGTAACCCGGATATAAGAGAGTTGTCGGGACCGGAGAAGAAGTCTCTTATATCCGGGTTTGGTCTATTTTATATACATTAACACAGGCCCTAATTTGGGACCAGAGAAAATCTTATATCCGGGTTACACTGTATATCAATATGTCAATATACTTTAGTTAAAAAATTACTGTTGTGTTGATAATAGGAAAATAACAAATTTTATATTCACATGTATAGGACAAAAAGTAATATATTTTTTTTCTACTAATATTTGATCCAAGCATCTCAGTTTTTAAGTATTACTATTTCAATTTACCCTCTTCTATGAAGATGTGTGTTTGTTAATATTTCAGGTAGTTTTCTTTTGACAGAAAATGATAAGAAGTAATTTTCTCAAATTTCTGAACTGGAAAAATCTGGTTCGTTGTTTGAAAGCACTAGCAAAAAAGTAAGTTTTTTTTTCTTCTGTGAGTCAGGAATTCTTCACTATTTTACTGTTTGGGTTCTTTGACAGTCAGTTAGTTAATCAAAAAATCAATCCAGTAAGCAGAAGCTGTAAGCATTCAAATGAGTTTTCGTGTCATCTTTGCAGAAAAAAAGTGTAAAGTAAAAATCTCTTGCAGATTGACGAATCAGACATTGTGATTTGTCAATGAACTCTGTATAAAGGTGACACGAAAACTCATTTGAAGTCACTTGTTTGTATATATTTCACTTGGTTCCGGACTAAGTAACTCTCTGCTTTCGAGCGGAGAGGAACCCGGACGAAGCTCCGCCGAAGGGCACAGTCTCGTTCGGGGTGGTTGACTGCCCCTCAACCCGTTTATGCGGGTTTAAAGAGGGAATATTTTTGGCTGAGCCTACGGGCTCGGAAATCCCGCGTTAAATCCGGCCTTGTGTCATATGTAACCCTCGTTGTGGGGGTAGCTAAATATCACTTGTTGTTTGTATATATTTCACTTGCATATAGTTCACTTTTTTTTATTTATTAAATTTATTTTTATATTTTTTTACTCTGAGTGACATAATTCATATTTCATTTTAAGTCATAATATTTCAATTTGTACATGACAATTTATTTTGTATTATTTTAATTTTATCAAATCTATTTTTGTGACGTACATGTACGATAAGTGTAACACTTTTTATTGCATCCCCCCCTTTGCACCATCAGTGGCTTTATTGCCTTGCTTTGGGTGACATGATTAAAAAAAAATTAGTATAACTGTTAAACATTGTATTGTCAATGCAATAGTTGTCTTATTAAAAAAAATTAAAATGCTTACTTGAACTTGATTTATGAGTCTACCTACACTAATAAACTTTAAGCCATTTTTACACACACACATTTTCTAAGCATACACTTACTTAGTGTTGTTGACAAATATTATTATTTCTAGACTTTTACACTTTACAATACATGCTAGAATTTTAGTATCACTAATAATCCAAAAATGTAACTGGAACCTCAAACCTTCTTACCACTGTTCCACTCATATGTCTTGAAACATTTTTATTTTATTTTTTTGTCCTATTTTTTACGTTTTTAATTTTGTAGATAAATATGTCACTCTTCTGCTTTTTCTCTTGAAAACTTGACGCAGATTATCGACTGCAAACCTAAAGCTATCAGATACGCCCTTTATGAGCTAAAAGTAGGACATAAAGATAAAAATTAAACTTGCCTTTTTAGGAATTTAGAACTGTCCTATTTATTTGAACTTGGGTCAAAAATCCGACCAAACATGTGGATTGTTCAAGGGAAGTAACTCCATAGTTCATAAATCATGTGACCTACTTAGCAGTTTTGTTTTAAAAAGTAAAAACTACGTTTTTGATTGAAATGACCAATGTAAAAAAGTGTATCAGTATTTTTTATTTACAGTATTTTTTCGGAAATCTAAGAACACTATTCCTGTGTCTACTGTGCTCGTTAAACTCTTTTTTTTTTTTAATTTGGATAAAAATACATTAAAAAACATAGGTATTTCAAAAAAGTAAAAAAAGAAAAGCAATACTTTAACTTAAGGTTTAAAATGTATTTTAAAAATGAAAAATCTTTTTTGAAACTTTTAGTTATAATTCCGAGCTAATAGGTTGAATTAGGTACCTCCTAGATTAGCTAAAAGATGAGCATACCATATTGAAAAAATCCCCCAAACTTAATAAACTTTCCTCTTAATAACTTTGTTATTAAGAGGAAAGACAAAAGTATTTTTAGATTAGTATATTTTTTAAATCCTTTTTAGAATGTTCGAAATTTTGGTTAAAAATCTTTTTCTTTTTATTTATTTATTTATTTTTTTTATATTTTTTTTTTTTTTTTTTTTTGAAAAACATTGATTTCAAAAAATCAAATAATTGTAGGATTTTAATGAAAATTTCAGGACTTATTCATAAATGAATGAAATTCTTTTACAAATGTTTGTTTCTTAGAAAATTCTAGCTCAGCTTGGTTTAAAGTTTTAGGTACATTACCCATTGCTTTCCCCAGATCCTCTCAACTTCGATGTCGTGTGAGTGTTGGATTCGACAAGCTCTCTTTTCTTACAATTTTCATGTTTCTTAATACTTTGCTTAGCCTTTGGAAGGCATCTTTTGCTATCCTAATGCACCTTCAGATTTTAGTGTCATATTCTCCATCCTCTGTTAAAACACTTCTCACTTCAATTTTTGTACTTGCTTCATTTGCATTTTGGTCTATTCCATTTACTGACAACCATACATTCTGTATCCTACAATTGATATTTAGTCCTTTCTTCTCACTTTTCTTTACCACATTTTCTAGCAGTTCCTGCATTTTCCTTTCTGTGTTTGACATCAACACTACATATCTTATGTTGTGATTGTAATAGTTTTATAGACTTTAAAATTGAGTTACATGATCTTAGCCTGGTATGATAATTACTGGAATCTTGTGTTGGTAAATGAGCATGATGTCTTAAAATTGATCTGGTATTATTCCTTTATTTTGGCAGGTGGCAGCTGTAACGGGCCATGATGTCATTCTTGTGGACCAATCTGAAGACATCTTGAAAAAATCACAAACCTCCATTCACAAGAGCTTGAGTAGAGTATCTAAGAAGAAGTTTGCTGATGAACCTCAAGTAAGTTAAAAATAATCTGAGGCTATATTACTCTATATTATTTTTATTTTATTTATTTTTTTTTTTAATTGCTTCAACAAACTAATTCTGTAGAAATAAAGAAAATTCAGGCCCCAGGATAAATTGGTATTTATATCATTGTTGCAGGTCCCGTGGTTTTAGTAATATTTTCGTGGACATGGGATGCTGTATTTTAAAAATTTTTTATTATTTTGGATTGGGTATGAAAAATTGTTCATATTGAAGTGGAGGAGAATATAGAAATGGCTTATCAACTTGCTGCTGGGTATTTAAAGCCAGAAAATAGTTTTAGCTTGTAAGAATTTTATTTTTTATTTTTTTATTTTTTTTATTTGAGATAATAATGCTTTAGTGATACAAGTTATACTAATTCCCTCATAGCTGGAGAAAAAAGGTGTATTCATACCTTTCTCAAGGGTATTTGCATGTAAGTAAATATAATGAACCTAACAGGAATTGGAACTTGGCTCTCCAATTAACATTTAAGTCATTATCCATTACACCAGATATATATATATATATATATATATATATATATATATACACAAGCTTACAGCACCTGGTATTCCCAAATGGTCATCCATCTAGATACTGAACAGGTTCGATGTTGTTTAAGTTCAGTGATTTTTATGGGAATTGGTGCTTTAATGTGATGTGGCTGTAAGCTGTATATATTTTATAATTTAATTTATTTGTAAGGATATAAAAGGGCCATTATGTGTGGAGAGAGAGGTACAGTGGGCTAGATGCAGGTACATGACCAGATTATTACCAATGGGTAGGGTATAAATTCAAGGAGGTTGGGGTCAGATTCGGAGGAGTTGCAATTTCTTGCATTAAAATTAGTTTGCATTACATTCACAGATACAGAGGCAAAATGTTTGGAGGAGGGTCAGATTTCCCTAATATGACTTTGTCCAATTCATTTCTTATGAAATTATTTAAAAATCACCTCCAAAAACCCAAGACTCTGAAAAAGTACATACATATTCTCTCATCAGTTTTCTGATGAGAGTAGAGACATTTTCTTTTCTTCCCTAGTTGGTGTGTTAGTCAAGCTCAATCCTGCAAGAGACACACATTAAACATTGGTCATGAAAATGGTTCTCTGTTGACCTCAGAAAGATAGTCTATAATGGGAGAGCTATGGAAGAAAGTTTTTTTTCTCTTTTCTGTATCTTCCCCACCATTATGGGCATTATTATATCTGTGATAACATTGTAATTCATAGACAGAACAGAATGGCTGAAAGGAAAAGTAATGACAAAATTGTTTTGTTCTCAGAAACACTTTTATACCACTAAGACATACACAAAACTATACATATACAGGGTGTATCAAAAATAATTTTACAAACTTTGGGGGTGACTTTCTCACTCCAAAACAAAGACATGTGTTCATATAAACATATGTCTTCAAATCTTCATTTTTGAGTTAAGTTTAAAGAAAGTTTATGGTATGTGGCACTATGTTGCCATGTAGACTAGGTTACATTTGTCATTCATGTACATTAGTTGTTAGTCTGTCTTCAATGTTCAATGTAGAGGTTGGCAACCTACAGCACACATGCTACGCCAAGCAATTTCCAATGGCACACAGCTGCAAATGACATCGCAAAGTCCAAACCAATAACTACTACAATGTAAAGAAGATATTTAGCTGTTTCAATTTTGATATATACTAAAGTATATATACTATATATTACTATATAAAATATTGTAGAACAGGTATATTGACCTTGACTTGAATAAAAATACATATGCTGTTGGCACACTGAATGATTTTAAAACCCTAAGTTGGCACATAGCAAAACGTTGCTGACCCCTGGTTTAATGTGTGTAGCAGTGAGTTAACTGAGAAGTGTTCCATTTAACAATGACAGAATATTCAGGCAGATCTGATTTTTACATATGGCTGTGGTAATGGATGTGAGGTTACATGGCTGTATCAGGTTACATTTTCAAACCGAAGGCAGCTAAGACATCCAGCCTTTGCTGGTGTGTTGTTGAGACAGGATCCCTGACAACACTAACTATAGACCGAGGAAGATAGAGATCCTCTTGTATACTTGACCACAAAGAACACATTCTACAGGCTGTTTGTACATCTCATCATACTGTATAAAGGGTACTTCAAGAGCAGCTCCTGTATCCATATCATTTGCAACATATGCAGGGCCTTCTGATCACACACCACAGCCGAATTTTTGCTGATGGTTTACTGCTGATCCATTGTTTGTTTCTTCAGTCTTGTTTATGGGTGTGGCAATATTTGGAAGAGATGGAGTAACAAATTTACACAACCAACATTTGTGGGCGAATTGGAATCTCCATGGTACAATACAGACTAGACACCAGCATCAGTTTATGATTGTGTGGGCTGGAATTATAGGGGATTGTCTAATAAGTCCATATGTTCTCCCAGCACATCTTGCAGGAGCTGTCTACAGGGGCTTTATTTCAAATGTACTTCCAGACCTGCTAGAGGATGTACCCTTACTAATACAAAGACATATGTAGTTCATGCATGATCAGGCTCCAGGACACTTTAGTCGCATTGTTCATGATGCACTGGCTGAAATCTGCCATGAAAGATGTAGGGGAGGACCGGTTCCAGGGTTGGCACGTTCCCTGAACCACAATCCTTTGGATTTTTATCTGTATGGTCACTTAAAACAATTGGTTTATGCAATAGACATTAACAATGCAGAGACACTTTATGTATGTGTCATGGAGGCCTATGAAACCATTCAACACCTTGCTGGAATATTTAAAAGGGTCTACCAGCCAATGATCCGATGGTTGCATGCATGTGTAGAAGCAAGCAGAAGACATTTTGAACATTTGCTATTAGTTGCTGTGTAGTGATATACAATGATGACCTTAAACTCCAAACTTAATAACTAAAAAAAGAATGACATAGACTTTTGTCCTTGCTTTGGTGAGGAAACCACTCCTAAAGCTTGTGTGGGGAAAATAGAAATGGCTTACCTCCCAAACGCCCTCACGCCTGTCTGGCCTGTGGGTTGAGAAAAGAAAGAAAGGGTCCAAGATGGCGTCCGTGACTTTTTAATATTCACGGTCTCGTGCAGTCATGCAAAGTCACATTACACGCATGCTAATGAGGTGTGTCTGGGCTCCATAAAAGCAGGTCGCTTGGAGAAATTGGCAGAGGGGCATTACACCCGTGTTTGGTGGTACATTGCTGCGGTGCATCGGTTGTCAGACATTTTCTGACGGAAAGAGTTGCGTCCCTTACTTGAATTTTCCTTTGCTACAGCATGAAATAAATGTGAAGAGAATATTAGCGACATTAAAGCAGGAAGGGTATTACATATAATATGGTGACACTTCTGTGACTGGAGAAAACATGTTTAGGACTCCAGATTCAAATGGGTTGGCTTCATCTACTTAGTCCCAGGCAAGAACATGTTCCATGAAGGAGAAGTGGTGAGTCTTGGGTTTTCCCAAATTAAGGACTGCAAGCCAGAGTTTCTTTCTATATCTGGGGAAGATATATTCAAAAAAGGAATGCCCCTATGGATGTGTAAACTGTAGCATTTGTTGGAGGAGGTAGATTTAGCCTCAGCTCAAGCCACTTGGCCAAGGCTAAAAAAAAAAAAAAGAAACAGCTCATTTTGGCTGCTGTAAACAAAACTCAATGACTGCCACTTTCATCACTGTATGGAATAACATCACTAAGCAACTGACGTATCTCCACCAAAGGGAGATAATCGCCATCTGTATCTATATTAGTTGTTATATTTTTATATATTTTTTCTTTATTCTTGGCATTATGAAAAATTTTGTTCATCATAATGCTCACTTCTTTGAACTCTACAGCAGTTATTCAAAAAAGAAAAAAAAAAACACCCAGCAGCGACAGTGTGTTTCATTGGTGGATGCAGGTTTGGATACTGCCAGAGAGCACATTTTCTTTATAATGTTCTCTCAAGTATACATTCCGGTAGATGAAATAAATACCGTTTAAAATAAATGGAGAATCTACTTGAATATGGGTATCCACTAAAAATGTTTAAAGTAATAAAAATCTTGGATTACAAAATAAAACCTATTAATTCCTTTTATTTATTGATTTTATATATATATATATATATGTATGTGTGTGTGTGTGTGTGTGTGTGGACAAACAAACAGCACTAAAAATAGCACAAAAACTGCATCTGGATCCACAATTATTTCCACCCCAATAGCCCCTAAAATAATTTGAAACATAGCTGTTACCACCTACCAAAATAACTGTCAGAACAATACAATAGACTACCCACAATACATCACTGACCTGTGTATGTAAATCGACAAGCAAAAATATAGCCTGACACTTGCATATAAGCATGAAACAGTGTTGCTGCTGGGTTTTGACTTCAATGTCCATTTTTATATATACATATTCTCTATCCTGGATATCAACCACTTTAACACAGAGATAGCATATTTTAAAACTATATTTTATCTTGTATACACATATCTATATATATATATATATATATATATATATATATATATATATATATATATATAATATATATGATATGTGTCTATATTTCTGAGATGAGGTATTATGTACACTATTTACATTATTCAGATTTTCGTCCTCATCTTAGCATATATTTATTACAGCGTTTCGGCCACTGTATGCTCCGGCCTTTTTCAGGTGGTTGGAATGTCAAACTGAATCTTTTATTTCACACATTGGGGTAGACTGTTCTAGTTTCACATGCCATGTTTAATGGATGTCTGTTATCAGTTATCTCCTGTTAATTCCCCTCTCCAAGTTCTCCACTGCCTTAATCAGGTATTGAGCTCACACTCTTTGTGTCCTGTCACTGGATCTAACCACAGTTTATCCATTGTGCCATGTCTCCTTCAGGACATCTGTGTATGAATTTCTGGGTATTATAAACCTAATGTCTTCAGCAATCATTTTTTACCAGTGCTAATATTGCAATTTTTGCTGTTATCATTGAATGTTTTTACCAGAGTTCATATTGCAATTTTCGTTGTTATTATCACTTTTCTCTGGCACTCCTTATTACTGGTTCCCATACTGTATTCATTTGTATGCTTGATCGGCTCAGGAGATTTTTGTGGCCTAGCATATGTGCTGATTCCTTAAGTTTATGAATTTTCCAATGGTGTTCTTTGTCTATGATCTCAGCCTGATCTCACAGAGGGTGGTGATCTTCCTTTTCTCCCCATATGTGGTCAGCCACAATTTTTCCACTTCCCCTTGTGTTACAGCTTTAAGGTGTTCTTGAAGCCTTACCTTAAGAGGGCAATCTGTCTCCTCTTTATATTTCTTTCTGCAGCTGCACAGGATAGCGTACACACATTCTTTAGTCATGTTCTCCTCTATGGGGGGGATCTTACTTGGGAGAGATATCTGCAAAGTGTCGTCCCGCTTTTGAAGGTTGTCCTATATGTACCACAGATCCTTTGTATTTTCTCATAAGGCAGGCAGACTGTTTTCCGAGTGTTGTTGTCCTTCTCTTGTACCTGCCTATCCCAGTTCAACATTCCAACCACCTGAAGAAAGCTGGAGCGTACAACAGCCAAAATGTTGTAATAAATATGGCGACAAAGATGAGGACAATAGTCCGAATAATGTAAATAGTATATATAGTGATTATAAACTATCAATTTAATTTTGTGGGACATTTCCTCTTAAATCTTTTAAAATGGATGATTTTTTTTTTTTTTTTTTTTTTAGTATGATGTACCCTTTATATAGAAAGCTAGGTGTTTTTTCTCGCTCACTCTATTTTTTAAAAATTTTATAAACATTAATTTGTAGATGCTGGAAAATTTAGCCATGCCTTCTTGTTTCTGCCAATATCTTTTTCATTAGATTTTCTCTCTAACAGTATTTTATGTTTTGTTTCTAGGCTGGAGAACGATTTTTGAATCAGGCTCTCCAAAAGATCAGCCTCAGTACAGATGCCGTTGCTTCTGTGGGTAAAACTGACCTCGTCATTGAAGCAATTGTTGAAAATCTTGGTATCAAACAGAAACTTTTTGCACAACTTGATGCAGCAGCCCCTGCGTAAGTGAATTATTTTTTTTTTTTCCCACCTCTGGTTAATCTGTTATCACTTTTACATTTTTATTAGAAAGGTTTTAGTTATGTAAATACATTGTTGTCTTCACTGAAGGAAGGGATTTTCAGTGATCTGGGAGTTGGTCAAGTGTTACTGATAGAATAGGGCAATGGAAATGTGTTGCTGGTGATTTTTTTTATTTTTTTATTTTTTTATTTTTTATTTTTTTTTTATTTATTTATTTATTTTTGTTAATCACAGAAATGCATATAAAAATCAAGATACTGTCAGTGGCCAGATACGGACACAAATGTTACTATAGAATTGTTGAAAATCTCACTATGGAACAAGCTTTTTGTGCGTCCTGGGTAAGACGATAAACTACATCCAAAAGCAAGGCCTCTGATCAGGAGATTTTGAGAGTCTGGAACCATCCTTAATTGCTGGTGTTCCCAGGTCCACCTGACCCACCTGTTAGGGTCCAAGCTATTGGCAAATAGTTAACCCCAAACTGGAGCCAAAGTTGTTAGGTTTTAATACCAGCAATACATTTTTGAATAAATATTACCAGCAATAAAAAATCTTGTTGTCAAATAAACCGCCGAGGGTTGATATGGGTAAAATTTTTGTATGAACTGGAGGAGAAAAAGTTACCTATGATACCTATTGTAAAATACTGGATTTTCATTTTTATATTATACTGCATATTATACAAAAATTAAAATCCAGTATTTTTAATTTTTCCATTCGTACATTTTTTTTTTAAAATTTTTTACCAGCATTTTTATTTAGTTTTTCTTCATCTTATTCAAAGTTTTTGTTAATCCAGTCTCGTATTCCGGTTTTCTGAAAGAAAGGTCTGTATTCAATGCGGTTTTCTGAAAAAAATAATGCGGTTTTCTGAAAAAGAAAAGTCGTGTTCCGGTTTCAAGTTTTTCAATGGTTTTTGATGTCTGGGTTTCTAGTATTCTGCAGTTTTCTGAAAAAAATGAAATATTCAATACAGTTTTTAGAACAAGTATTCAATTAGTTTTCTGAAAAGTCGTCAGTCCTATTTGTGAAAAAAATACGTATTCAATGCAGTTTTTTCTCGTTTATGCGGTTTTTTATAGTCTCGTATTATGCGTTTTTCTGAAAAGAAAAATTCGTAAAACCTAAAATGGGTATTCGTACAATGCGGTTTTCTGAAAAAGAAAGTTGATCTCGTATTCAATGCAGTTTTCTGAAAAAAAGTCCAGTCGTAGTTTTTCTGAAAGTATTCAAAACTAGTCTCATGCAGTTTTCTAATCAGTCTCGTATTCAATGCAGTTTTCTGAAAAGAAAGTCTACGTATTAATGCAGGTTTCTCCAGTCTCATTATTCAATGCAGTTTTCTGAAAAGTATTCAAAGTCAGTCTCGTATTCAATGCAGTTTTCTGAAAAAAGTCCATCAAATCTCGTATTTGCAGTTTTGAAAAAGAAAGTCAGTTTCTGAATTCAATGCAGTTTTCTCCAGTCTCGTATTCAATGCAGTTTTCTGAAAAGAAAGTCCAGTCTCGTATTCAATGCAGTTTTCTGAAAAGAAAGTCCAGTCTCGTATTCAATGCAGTTTTCTGGGACAAGTCTCGTATTCAATGCAGTTTTTTACAATTCGTATCAAAGTTTTCTGTGGTTTTGTTTTCTGAAAAAAAAGTCTCGTATTCAGCAGTTTTCTGAAAAGAAAGTCAGTCTGTATTCAATGCAGTTTCTGAAAAAGTCATTTCAATGCAGTTTTCTAGTCAGTCTCATGTTATAGTTTCTGAAAAAATTAATCTCGTATTCAATGCGGTTTTTCTGAAAGAAAGTAATCGTATTCAATGCAGTTTCTGAAAAAGAAAGTCCAGTTTTTAATGCAGTTTTCTGAAAAGAAAGTCCAGTCTCGTATTCAATCAGTTTTCTGAAAAGAAAGTCAGTCTCGTATTCAATACCAGTTCGGAAAAGAAAGTCAGTCTGCGTATTCAATGCAGGTTTCTGAAAAAGAAATCCAGTCTCGTATTCAAGTTTCTGAAAAAAAGTCAGTTTCTGAAAAGAAAGTCCAGTCTTATTCAATGCAGTTTTCTGAAAAAGAAGTCCAGTTTTCTAAGAAAGTCCAGTCTCGTATTCAATGCGGTTTTCTGAAAAAAAGTCCAGTCTCGTATTCTCGGTTTTCTGAAAAGAAAGTCCAGTCTCGTATTCAATGCAGTTTTCTGAAAAGAAAGTCCAGTCTCGTATTCAATGCAGTTTTCTGAAAAGAAAGTCCAGTCTCGTATTCAATGCAGTTTTCTGAAAAGAAAGTCCAGTCTCGTATTCAATGCAGTTTTCTGAAAAGAAAGTCCAGTCTCGTATTCAATGCAGTTTTCTGAAAAGAAAGTCCAGTCTCGTATTCAATGCATGGGACAAGCTATTTCTCTTTTACAATTTTATAAGTGTGGTTTTTGTTTCTGAACTCTCTATCCCTGATAAGAGGATTTTTATTTTATAGATATAGCTGCTGCTAGATTGAGATAATCAACATAGTTTCTCATTTTTTTTAATTAATAACAATAATATTTTATAAAAGTGCCGCAAAAGCTGTTTGAAGTAGATGAATATGAAGTCATTTTCCTGATATCATTTTCTGTACTGATAACTTTCAATTTATGCTTCCTTTCAATTATGTTGTCTAAAAGCTGGATATGTTGTCTTGTATAAATATTCAGTAAATCATCATTTTATTTTAGGTTAGTTTATTCTATGTTTATTCTTGTTTAGGCAGAACTATCCAGTGTTGTGATTGGGGGTCTGTTAACCCATTTACAAAGGTACACAATATAATGAGTCCAACATTCTTGACCCAGCACAGATTTTCACCTGAAGGAGACAGTTAACTCCTATTTTCCTTAAGTTTTATCAGAACTTCTCATTCCATGTCTGTTAATGGCACAGATCAGCAATAAAAGAATAATATTGTTAATTCTGTAATGAGTTGGTCGGTCAACTTGACACCCCCAAAGTGAGTGGAGGTGGGCAGGTGCGGGAACTGTGATTGGTAGCTAGCTTGTTGGTGTTTTGCATAGGTGAGTTACCAAGCTCTATGTAAAGGGCTGGAATGAGAAGGTGGGTAGTTTTTTTCAGTCTCAGAAGTGGAGACTGTGTCCATCGCTACGACAGCAGGAGAGAAAGAGACAAAAACATTTATTTTTTCGTGACACATTCCAACATAAATTCTTCAACTAATAATAGATCTATAATTCTCAAAATGTGATCGGATGTAGTTTATGCGTTTCCACTGTTTTCATCTGATTTTGATGTTTGAGTCCAAATTGGCTAGAAAAATTATGACCTTGAACATGAAAAATTGAAAATTTTTTTTTTTTTACATTTTGCACAAAAATCAAAGGCAAAATTTAATGTCTGTAAAAAAAAAAAAAAAAAAAAAAGCATACAATCAACTTAAAGAGTTGAAATCTAACACAAAAGATTATTAGAATTATAAAAAAAAATTATAAATAAAAATTATCGTATGTTATTATGATGGTCCATGGAAGAGGTTCCTTCCTTGCAAGATTGAGAATGCAAAAATGGCCCTTTTCAGGGCCACCTCCCATTCAAATTGTTAACCACCCCTATTTGGGGGATGTGCCTGAGTTGCACCCAAATGTTGTTACTAATATTGATTTTTGGGTGGGCTGGCTTTAATCTTAAACGGCTTCAACTGAACGGCAAAAATTTCCAGTAATGAAACACCGAAGATGGGTTATATTGCCAGTTCAAAATAATTTTGAAGATAATAAAAAATTTCACTAAATGTTTTTAGGATTAACTACATTTTTTAAATAATTTCTCAGGAAAATGACTGACATTTGTGAAATAGCCTTTTAATTGTTGCTTTCTTAATCAAAATTTGTCAACATTTTATTATAAAAATATTTTTTTTTTTTTAATTAAAAATAGCAGTATAATCTTTATTTTTCAGATGAAACATTGTCAAGCATAATTACAGTTTGAATAATATTTGCTTTCATCTAAATTTTTTTTTTTTTTTTTTTTTTTTGCTTACCTGCTTTTTATGTTTTTTATATCATCATTTGGACATAATATTTTCTTCTAATTGTTTCACCTCAAGCAAGGCAATAAACCCACTAAGATGCCAGGGGTTGCAGAGAATGAAAGAGAACAAGAATTTAGTGAGGGGAAAATAAAAGAATGGGATACAGGAAGATAAGATGGCAATTAACATTACGTTTAAATCAGAAGTGTTCCACAAGTAAGAAGTGTGAGAAAATAAAATATTAGAATAGAACTTATGGTTGCATCTAGCTATTCCAACAGCAAAATAAGACCTAGTTACCCATCTAGTAGTATGCTTAAATTCATGCAGTCGATGTACTAAGGAAGAAAGCTCATCAGAACATATTTATAGAAAAGACAGAGGGAAAACATGTTACAGTGGTGTGAAGACAAGATGCCAGACTTTCTTTGGACTTTGTAAAGAATCTCAGATATATAGCAGGAGCACCAAACTTGATGGTGGCAATATTCAGTGCATGGATGCATGATAGATTTATGAATGTACAAGATCGATTCTGGCGAGAAAAATTTTTTTTTCTAGTTATTTCTTGGTTTAGAGCGGTTAATTCTGGTTTTTCAAGGTTTGCAGTCCAGGGGAGACAATTGTTTCAAGATAATTAAATTACCTCCCTTTGAATATATATTTTTAATTTTGTTGTATTTGGTTTATTAAATTTTTGATGTATTCTTATTTTTCAAATTTGAGATGTAAAATTAAGTAAGCTTTAGTCTCAGGGTCACCCGTCTCCCCTATCAATACTCTTGTCCCTCGTGAGGACGCTAGGATCATTGCATGGCACTTGATGTTTCTCCAAAAGGAAAAGTGTTGAGAGAATTGGATTATTTTTGGTCCATGTATGCTTAGGACCTCTGCTGTTAACGTGAACATTTGGATGAATTACTTTTTATAAA